GCTAAGGGATTTGGCCGGAAAAAGAATACTTAGCTTGGTTCAAGTATTTTTTTTGTTGTTTAATGAATTATGATTTCTTTTGGAAGTAAGTTTTTTTCTATTTTTTTTTTATTTACTTTCGGGTGAACTTTGATGCTTAAACAGTTTATAAAAGTAAGAGATTTATATTTATTTATTGAATAATATGGAAATATCACAGGTATAAACGTATATGAACTGATAATTTTCTTTACAAAAATTATTTAAAAAAAATGGAGTAAACTTTATGGACTTTTAGCATACAAACTACCACAAAACAATATAAAATCTTAGGCTGAAAATTAAATATTCCTATAAGACGAGCTGAGGAAGGCAGAAACTGAGCTCATTCCCACCATAATTCTCAATCTCGCCAATTTGCATTTGTTCGCTCGGCTCGCTTTGGTGTCTCGCTCGACTAATACGAATGTATGGGCATAAGAGTGCGCAGCGCGACACAGACACGAAGGCGAATGAAAATCAACTGGGGGCAGTCATTATGGCGGCTTTCACTTTCGCTAATGTGTTATGAGAGGGAAAGGCAGCCCCAGCACCAGCATCAACAGCAGCCGAGCCAAAGCATAGTAGCACAAGCATAGCAGAAGCTGAAGCAAAGCAGCCAGCCAGCCAGCCATTCTCGGAGGGGCGGCAGCGACAGTGCTTTGCTTGGAGGCGTGTAGAAGTGGGCTGAGTGCCAGTTAGAGTGTGTTTAAGCAAATAGGTCGGCACACAAACCACCCAACCACCTACTTATGCACACCACCACCCCGCCACACCACCACACTACCATGCCACACTCACAGTCGCAGTTTAACGCGCCGCAGCTTACATTGTAATCTAAAGAACGGAAAACCACAAGAAAAAAAAGAGAAAGTAAAGCTTCCAGGACTTGAATTATTTAATACTCTTACACGAATAAAAAATTTGTGGATTTTATAAGATATTTTTAGTTTTTAAGGGGAAGTTAAATAATTCATGATTTTATGAGTAATTTATTTTTTTAATTTATCATTTAGTTGGAAAAGTTTTGCAATTTTTAGAATAAAAGCTACAAAGAGTCGTAAAAAATGTACTGAAAATAATACTATCAAGCTAAGCTATATCTTATAAATATTAATTTTTTATTTTAGACTTCTTTTTTTAAACAAATATTCTTAAATTAAGTTTTTACAGTAAGATTAAAGGTAAAACTTTTCAGTTACAAGTTCCATAAGTTCTTAAGATCTTTCTTGGTAAAGAACGATAGAAGTTTTTTTTGTAACAATAACAAATAAATAAAAATTTAAAAAACTTTAAGCAGTTTTTAAATGAAATATAAATTTAAAGTAATGACAAGTGTACAGTTTTCTTATTAAGACTTCACTGTACTAAAACTTTCGAGTTTGCATTTGAGAAGTCAAAGCAGAAATTAAACTCGAGCTTAAGGAGCAGGCAGATGAATATTTTTTTTTCGGGTGGCCGAAACTCAGAGGTTGCATCTGCCACCCCCCATTACTGCTACTGGTCCCCCCTTTTTACACTGGGGGATAAAAGTCATATACTCGTAAGCAGGATCCCTAACTCGCTGGCAAACACATACATACATAGGCGCGTACTTGTATTTAATCAGATGCGCATACATACATATTTGAGTGAGCATTTTGGAGTCTGTGTATGTGGTACAGTGTGTGTGAGAGTAAATTTTTGTCGTATTTACACTTATTTCATTTTGCCCAATGCTTTGTTTACTATTTGACTTGGAGTTGTCCCAACAGAGGCGTAACCGGGAGGGGCGTGGTCATGAGGGTATATCTTTTTCTCTGACGTTAAATTTTCTTTTTTTTCCGTCTTTCTCCTTCTTAGCTGATTTCTCTTTGGCGCCACGGAGCGTATGAGTGATTAAAAGTTTTGGCATTAAGCAAATTGCGTCTAAGCCCAGTCTTTGGGCCTCCATTTGGGCCCTGTTCGTCCTGTTTTTGCCAGAAAATCTGTGTCGATGTTATGCTAATTATATCACGCCTCAATAAACAGCTGACAAGGAAACGTGCCGGGCCAATCACAAGAGATTCGTTGTATTATTTCTGGATTTTTGGCTGCCTGGTATTCGATTTTTGGCATTTCAATCTGCCCATTCCACTTAAATTATTATGCAACAAACAAAAATCTAATTTTTTCCATTCGGCAGCTGTCGGTTAGAAGTTTTGGGGGCTAGCTGATAATGTTTCCACACCTCCCCACCCTCCATCGGAGAAAGTTTTTAATCGATGGAACTTTCCCCCAGAAGAAAATTCCCGAATACGTGATTGAACTTTAACCCAATTTAGTAACAACATCTGCTTACTTGGACAACAGAGAAATATTTGAATTGAATTTCGATTAATTGGTTGGATATTAAATGGACTAGTCTTTATTGGATGTTTTTTGATAAATATTCGTATGAATATTACTTATATAAATAAATATTTATTTGGAACAAATATTCCTATATTTGTAAGAAAAATGTTGGTTTAAAAACTGTTGATTCACTTCTTATCTCTTCCTTAATGAATATCCCTGATTTCCAACCCAAAAATATAAACATTATTATGTTATATCAGAGCTTACACGTCTCAAGGACTGACAAGATGGCCGAAATAACTCTAAAGATATTATCTGTGTACCAGGGCATAATTTATTCACATGGACATGTTAATGGCTTGCCAATCCGAAACAGACCCACTAGCTTTAATCTGGTGTGTCGTATATGTATATTTCTATATATATACCGACGATTCCAGGAGGCGCATTCAAGTGGATGATTACATGTAATAATTGTTAGGCACAAACACACTGGCAAGAGGATAAATTAGAGTTGCCGGGGAAGATAAAGGCAGACACACCACCCATAAATAATAATTAAATGCGTGACTAATTACTTGTGTAATATTGCCTTTATTAAGCCACAGACAAAGACAAAGTCGCCCAGCCGATAGCTGAAGACTCTGAATAAGAATTGAAGTCACAAAAGGAGACATGCCTGCCAGACACGCCCACACTGCCAAGGGAGGCGTAATGAGCTGGCAATATGTCGTGTTATCACCACCCAAAAAGCAGAAAAAAAACTGGATAAGTCAGGAAAAAAAGGAGTTGAAATTTCACTCCTGCAGGCGCCGAGCTAAATTCGTTGTCCTGGCGATGACTAAGTTGACATCAACTGCCAACTTGGCACATGTGAGCCCAGAGACAGTGTGTGGGTTCGAGCCAGATATTTACCTCGAGGCCTCTAATGAGCCTTGATTTATTTCATTTCCTTCTGCCGCAATCAAGATATCCTTCCAAGGAAGTAGGTTGCTAGGAATTTTCCTTTTTCCCCAATGGTTTAACACATATGCAAGTACTTTAGCCACAATAAAGACTTAATTACTTAATTAAGTGATTTCGCAATCCTTGCGGCTTAATAATTCAATTCATAATTCAATTAAAATCAATTTAAGAACTAAATTAAGTCGCTAAACTGACGTGGTTTTACATGGAACTTATTTATTTAAATACAAACAAGAAAGCAATAATAGAAAACTTTACTAACTAATTGTATTTAATTTTGTTAAAAAGAATCAGGTGTTTAAAATATTTAAAGGTACATTTTCACAATAGCATATTCAAGGTAAGAGCCGCTTATTTTAATTGACTAAAAATATTGATAAAAATATCAACCCAAAAAGCCTTTATATAAAATAAAAAACCTTAATCACTTTACAGCCATTTAAAAAAAGAAAGTTTTCATTCATATTTTAGGTTTAAAGCATTTAAACCTAACTACAAAATATATGCTACTCTATTTTTAAGCCGCTAACAAAATTTAAAATAATCAGAAATGTCTAACTAAATTCAAAATACTTGATGATATTTTGCAACTGACTTTTTCTGGTAGCGACAGTTGCAATTTATTGCATTGCACATTAGACGCTTGACGGCAAGCTATGCACATTTTTGCCAAAAAGCAACCACAAAAATTGTGTCTCCTAGTTGAATTTCACAGTTTTGCATTTTTTCAAGCAACTACCCTTTTTTTACTCCTTCCTGTCTGCAACAATTGATCGTCTTGCCAGGGTTATGTCAGAAAAAGCCATATAAACAAGAAGTAAACCAAAAAGCTGCAGTTTCATTTTTCTTTTCCCCGCTTCAGATTTAAAATTCTCATTCAATGTTTATTTGTCTAAGCACCAACCCAACGCTTTCGTTTCAATTTATTTTGGTTTTCCTTATTTTTTTTCCGTTTTTTTTTTTGTTGAATTGTCTTTTACGTGGCATTCAGTTTATTTACTTTTCAGTGCAACAGCTTGACTTTTATGCTCGTTTATGGTTGCTTTCGAGGCTTTTGTTTGGAGCTCTTTGGATCGATCCAACCCAAAAATCAAAAAAAATCATCAGATAAACAGATTTTTGTCATGTGTGTTCAATTTCATTCTGATTTATAGAGATAGCATCGGGTATTGCTTTTATTTGTTTACATATCAAGAATGTGGCAAATGAATTGCCAAATACTTGACAAAGTCAATAAAATTTTAAATTGTTTTAAGCTCTGATGACTGAAAAAAGTAAAGCTTATTTTTTTGTATAATTTAAGGAGGGTTTCTAGGGGCTTATAGAAATATATTTTTGACTACTAAACGTTGTTGGTGCGTTATATAATTTCTAGGTTTATATTTCTATATAATTTAAAGATTATTATTTTCCACAAAACTTAATAGAAAATCTTGATTTGTTTTGCTTTAGACTTTCCAGCTGAGTAAGCAATTATATTTTGATAACAAAGCAAAAAGCCACATCCACACAGCCACTGAGAGCCATGAAAAGTCTGGAGGACACCTATGAGTGGCAATGAAAATAAACAACTCGCAGACTCAGAACTGGCCAGAACGAATTTGCCCACACCATGGAAAATGTAAACAAATCGCAAACCAATAAACTGAGAGGAGCCTGAAGCCTGAAACCCAACTGATCCGACAGTATTGCTCCAAGCCTCACTCTGATCGGTGCTCCAAATCGGAATATATACCATACAAAAATGAGTTTAGATTATTCAGTAGAATTTAATCACGATGAAAATATTCTTTTTGTCGAAAGACATGTGGTGAGCTATACGTTTTCTGTTCAGATAACTTTTTTCTATTTAATAAACTTTATTGTAGTCTTACTTGTCGAAATTCCTGACCAACCTTACCTTGGAGTCATCTGAAGATCAAGACGAAGAGTCCACTATTTTTAATGAAAAACTTTTGCAATTTAAATACGAAGCTGAATGGCTGGACTTGATTTTTCCATCACCCGACTATTATGCCCAGAAAGAGGAATTAATCTACAAGGTTGTATGCGAAATTAAGGCGAAAAAGCATATGGATGAACAGAAATGTATGGACACCTCACCAGTTGACCATTTTCTGGATACCTATCCGGAAGATTTGAATTCATTAGTTGTAGTAGAACTTCAATGATTTAATTTTTTTAAATACTAATACTCTTTAAGAAGAGGAGAGCATTTGGTTGGCTCATAATGTTGCCAAATCTTCTAATTAAATCATTAGCTCATACCTTGACTTTCTCTTGCCTGCGAGGGTGTATTTTTTTGTTTCAGGCTTAAGAATAATCCGACAAAATCATCCCTCCAAGTCCTGGTTTAGTCAACAATTAATGTTTATCTGGCTAAACATTTTCATTTAGGTTATGGCCAGAATCCTCCCACCCAGAAGAGTTCTGAGCCAAAAAAAGCACAACGACATTAAGGGATACCGGTGTGATTGGGCATGCGGGCTGAGTTTTACCTTCAACCTTGTCCTGATATTAATTTAAACTAATGCCACAAGGCAAGTCACAACAGCCACAACATATCGTACAAAAAGGGAAGTAACCGAAGCATTCAAATCCGAGACATGTAATTTGCCAGGCGCTTGTGGGAATGAGCAGTCCTGTATCTCTGACTGGATATGGGTGTCCTGACGACAAAGTGACTTAACATGTCAGCCCCACGGCCTGATTATTCCGTTGACAGTGAGAATATGCCAAAGCAGAAAGATTATTTGCCAAAAGGTGGGGGACTCATCAATGCCAATTCCAAGTCAATTGAGAAAGCACAGAGAAAAATTTGGCATACTAGAAAACTTTCATAAAAAATGTATATATGGAAAATATTTTTGTTTAAAATAATAAACATTTTAATAAATTTTAATATAATATTAAAATTATTGCAGTGTTCGTTATTCAGTATTTCCAGTGATCTTAACCTGTCGGAAGTTGTCTAGGAAATTAGCCACTGAATTAGATGGCTAGAAGCGGTGAACCGACTTGGCCCTACTTCATTAACATTTAGTTAAACTTGTCGCATGCCTCACGCATTTCAATGAACTTGTGGCAGCTAGGAATTTGGGTTTTATTTAATTAAGCCAAGCCAAGTCTTCTCCAAGATACTCAGTTGATTTGTAACATTCCAGATACATATGCAAAGGAATAGGCAATTTCCTATCGAATTTTAAACAAATAAATGTGTAGAAATAGCTTAAATGTTTGGAGCCTCGACATTGAAGTGACGTTTGAAATTAATTTGTGCCAGGCTCTTGCCATTTGGCCCTTTTGGTAAATAAACCGCACTCCTTGGTTGTCGGGTGTCGGGTGTCTTCGCTGCGGATAAGCCGTGTAATTAAGCAAAATTCGCCGCCATTTGGTTAGCGGTTTTAGGTGCGTGAGAACGCCCAAAAAGGCGAACCAGTAACAGCCAGTAGCGTATTAATAACGTCAAAATGTTGCGCATGAAAATTTATTAAGATGCCGATGCCAAAGCCCCAACACTCTCCAGTCAGCTGTTGCCATCGACTGGGAACTTTTAGCTCGGTTTTGGCCAAGTGGGCCACCCAACATGGAGGCCTTTACTCCGCGGGGCCATTGCGCTTGACGGCTTCACATCCATAATTTGGGTAATTTATTAACAACGCGGCGTATGCGTAATATTTTAAATTTTCAAGCAACCTCGGACTTTAAATTATAGAAAACGAGAAAATTGTTTAAGAATTTAATAAAATTTCTGTACAGTTTTCTATTAAGAAATTTCTATGCAACTCAAAGACACCAAAGCAGTAAAATAAATCACCCCAAGTAAAATAAATCAATAAACATTCTCCTCGAAGTTTTCTTGATTGGTTTAAAACAGTTTCCATAAATTTATTATACTTGCTGTCAAAATATGACAATGTGACTTATATCTCAGCTTGATTTTATTGATATCATTTGAAAGCAAATTTAAAAATGCACTTGTCAATTCTCTTCACTTGACAAATTCGTTCGGTAAAGTTCGGTATTCTGAAAACAGTTTCATGAAAATATTTGTTTCAAATTTAAAAGTAAAGTTTAAGTTTGGCAAATTAAATTTAAACTTCACTTAACAGTATTTTTGGAAAACTCATAATTACTCAACTATTTTTATGAGAATGCTTTTGTCACATGCTTTTCAATTATTTATTCATTTAAATGGTCTAGGAACAGAAACTGATACATTTTATTTTCCCACCCCAACCCCCTTCAGAAAATAATCAAGTCGAATGGGACTGCAACCGCATTTGGAAAAGTGGTTTGTATCTGTATCTTTTCCATTGAAATCTGGCCGGCTGGCAGATGCAAGACTGTGACTGTAAAATATTTTATTGCAGGCATTTGGGTGCAATATAAGTAGAAAGCCATTTGAAACTTTACACTGGCCTTCGGCTTTACTGCTGGCCAAAAGGCTCTAAAACTTTTGCGCCAATAAGTCACCAGGCGACTGTTTGGGCCAAAGAGACGAAATGATGTAAGCCATAAAACTGTCCAAAAGTCGCAAAAGAGAGAGTCCTTTGAGGGATTGCACTACGTGTATGTGTGTGTCTGAGTTGCGTACTTAAATAAAAATATATTTTAAAAGCCAGAAGCCAGAGGTTGCAGTAGCTTTGGCTCCCTCGAAAAATAAATTAAAATAAAACAACCGCGTGAACAAAGCCCACAAATCATAAATTTTAAATTAGCTCACACAACCACCACCCTACTCCGCTGAACAATAAATAATTATTTAATTATTTTATTACTTTAAGCCGAATTACAAATGAATAGAAAGCACGCGCCGACAATTAACAATACAGGCGAACAAAAAAAATAAGGCGACTATTTCCACAGAATGTTTATATAAATAAACAAAAGCCCAGTCCGACATCCACTCAGTTTTTATATGGAATATATGGTACAAGTTGTAAGTAAGCTACCAACATCCAGCTAAAAGGGCATCTGGCGGTGACGGAGGATAAACAAAAGGGCAAGTAGATGGCAAGAAATAGGGAAAGGGTATTAAAACCACTCTGTAAAAATATTAATTAGCATTTAAGGGTTTATATTTTTATACCCTTGCAGAGGGTATTATAATTTTGGTCAAAAGTGTGCAACGCAGTGAAGGAGACATCTCAGACCCTATAAAGTATATATATTCTTGATCAGGATCACCTCCTGAGTTGATATGAGCATGTCCGTCTGTCCGTCTGTCCGTCTGTCCGTCTGTCTGTCCGTCTGTCTGTTTCTACGCAAACTAGTCTCTCAGTTTTAAAGCTATCGTCTTGAAACTTTGCACACACCCTTCTATCCTTTGCACGCAGTATATAAGTCGGAACGGCCCGGATCAGCCGACTATATCCTATAGCTGCCATATAACTGATTGATCGGAAATGGTATAACTTTGGTGTTTTTAGAGTTAGAGAGTTCAAATTTGACATGAGAGCTATTTTTGGCAAAACATTACGACATGCCAAATTTCATAAGGATCGGCCGACTATATTCTATAGCTGCCATATAACTGATTGATCGGAAATGACCCAACTTTCGTGTTTTTGAAGATAGAAAGCTGAAACTTGGTACAGATTATATATTTGGTCAGTTGATCCGACCTACCAAATTTCATTAGGATCGGCCGACTATATCCTATAGCTGCCATATAACTGAACGATCGGAAATGGTATTTGGTAGAAATATCAACTTTCGTATTTTTGAAGATAGAAGTTTGGGACTTTTTTTAGATTTTGTATTGTAATACATTGGAATATATATTCCTATTCCCATAAGGATCGGCCAACTATATCCGATGTTTGCGATATATATCCGGTTTTAACTGCAAGGGTATATCAACTTCGGCTCCGCCCGAAGTTAGCTTTGCTTTCTTGTTTTATCAAGATTTAAAGACACAATGATGTGTAATTTCGTCATGTTTTAGAAATGATAATAGTGGTTGTGTAGTTAATAATATAATTTCAGTGCATCTGCCTAGTCTACTTGAAAAGTTCCAAACGCGTGCTACCAAAAGGCGTCGCCGCAATTACCCAGCCATGAACGCGAACAGAAACACAAAGCCAGGCTAACGAGTGGTTGTGTGTCGCATACTTTTAACCCGCACTGTGTTTGCCTATTGTGCCAAGCCTGGCCAGGACCAGAACAGGCCAGAAGTATGTACGAATGTAATCGCATGGTTCTATTTAAGCCCGAATGCCAGAGGAGGGTGTATGTAGAAGGGGTGTATGTACTGAAAGGGTTTAAGCCGGAATAGGAACACTAAGCAACTGTGTGTGATCATAATTGTTGTGGCAACAAAAACAACAACAATAAGAACAACAAGTACAGAAACGGAAATCACAACACAAACAGTAGAACAGAAGCTCTGTTCCAGGCAGTTCGCTTTCTTTTTTATATCCCTTTCATGGCAATGTCTACTTAAAATGTCAAAATTGCAAAGTCTGCGAAACATTGGGGCTAAAAGTGTAATTGTTGTTATTGCTCAGCTCTAAGAATTTATTTATATTCGAGTTTCGAATCCCTTAAGAGAAAGTTGAATAAATTAAGGACAGAAAAAAAATTGCAGAAAAATAAACATGAAAAATATCGTTTCCCCATTGAATTTCAATAAAATGAAAAAGACTAAGTAAAACAAAGAGCAGGCAGGCAGAAGAATTTATTTTTACTGCCAACTAAAATGCATACGATAAATGCTAAAAGTTTTCCCATGTCGCAGTCGGACCGGAAACGGAAGTCGCCTGTACGTCATGTATGGTAGGTTTGAGAAAAGGTCGCCGGCTTTTTTGGCTCCAAGTGCATAAATAACTTTAAAATATGTGAATAAAACCACAAAATTTCATTGAAACTGTGGGAAAATAGTGAATGGCTATAATTTATATTCACATTTCAACGTTCTTGAACGTTGTAAGTCCCTTATATATAAAAATCCTTTTTCCCTTTTTGCTAAAAGAAATCCGTTTTTAATGCCACATCGTCAGTAAAAAAAAATAGGTCAACCAGATTTATACTGAATGTATCAATTATGAGCGCCGTTCAATCAAACGAACCCCCCTGGCAAATCGACCGAAAATCAGACAAATGAGAGGGAGTCGCTGACAGTTAAATTGGCCACAGAAACACCCCCTGAAAAAAAAATGGCGATTGGCCGACAAAAATATATGTGCGCCCATACAAGGGAATATATGTTCAATATATGTATGGATGTCCTTACATAGGGGAAGCATTATAAAAGCTATTAATA